CTGAACTCGGAGGCAAATCTCTTCCTGAGCAGCGTGGGTCGTCAAGCGCCCGAAATGCCGCTGTCCCTGGCAGTCGGAGCAGCCGGGCGCTGCCTGGCGGGGGGCTGCTCCGGCTCCAGCCCTCCGCTCTCGTTTGGTCGATGGGTCCCTGTCCTCGTTGCCGCGTTCACGCCGAGCTTTGGGCTATGTACACGGCTGGAGGTTTTGCCAGGGTTTTATCTGATGGTGGAAATAGTTTGTGCAGATAAAATGCAGCTCATCTCAGGCTTGGTACCCAACTTGCCCTAACTTTTCTGCACCTGGCATCTGAGTACCGGGATTGTGGCTGCCAGTGACTTGCTAAATGCACCTCGGTTTGGTTTTTTTGGAAGTGCTGATCAGGGAGGTGTTGGTCCCCTCCCCGTGGGAAAAGCTGGATGCTCTTCTGGTCCCTGTCATGCAAGCACTGACCCTTCCTCGCCTTCTCGCTGTCTTTCCAGTGAGGACTGGAAGTGCAGCCCAGTGCAGGTTTTATCTGTTCTGGTGTGATGCCTGACCAAGCAGCTGGAATATTTCGCTAGAGGAAATTGCAATCTGTGATTTTGAATGAAGGAAAAGCATTGTAACTGAGATCCTCAAATGACAACTGTAGATTTAAGAGGAGTTTTACTTAAGTGCACCAGTTCTTCCCTGAGCTGGTAGGGAAATCGTCTTCCCCCTCAATTTTTCTTCCAGCTTTGCAGCTTGTCTTTTAGTTAAGAATGGAATTATTGGATGGATTTCACTGGAAAAAGTATTTGTTTAGCTCATAAGCGAGGACCCTTCTCTGTGTTGGGTTTATTCTGGAATAAGGTGCAAAGTGTATTTAAAGTACAGTAGCTGACTCAGAATAGTTTTCCACATAGACACATTGTTCCACAGTAGCCGTTCCAGAGAATTTCTCTATAAAGAAAGTACGTAAGTTGTTTACTTTGTGCTAGAATTTCCTTTGCACCCCTCCTGCCACCATTTCCCTCTGGACTTTGTCAGTCTGATGCATCTGAGCTTATGTTATTTTGTGCATTAAAAGACCAGTGATGTATTTTTTCCCCTTTAAAAAAAAAAACTGATGCCATACATTCAAGGCAGGATGTGTTTTTCTTGACTAGTGAAGCAGAAGAAAAAGGACGTGACTGAGAAAAAGACATACCAGAGAGATGTAAGCAAACGTTGCAGCCTCGGTGTTTACTTTCCTCTTCTGCTTGGCAGGAGGGTGAAGACGTGCTCCCCTAACGTCGCATCCGCTAGCCGACAGGGCCAGCGCGTTCCTGGACTCTTTGTTACTGTCTCCCTTTCAACGGAGGCTCTAACGTTGCTGTTTAAAGCTGGAGGCGATGCTCAGATAGCACCTATTGCAATTGCGAGGCAGGAAAACTAGTTCACGCGCCAGGGAACAGTTAGCGCAGGGGACGGGGTCCGCGCGGTCCACAGAAGCAAAACCAGGTGAACGCAGGCAGGAGCGGATCAACTCGGAATAGCCCAAGGCAGGTGGTGGGCAGAGCTGTAGGCACGAGCAGAGCCGTGGCTCTGGAGCACTGTAGTTTGATGCAGAAGCTGCTGATTTTAATGCGTGTAATATTCGAGGGTGAGCCACGGCAGCCTGTTTTCCCATTGACGGTGGATTACATCGGGTAAAGTCTCGTTCCCAGTACTGAGTGGCTGAGCTGAGTGTTAAAAATACCCTCACCAAAGAGTAGCCTTTGTACTATTCGCGATGAACTGTGCTGCTGCGCTGACATGTAGCTCGTATACAGAGAGAGAGAGAGACACTGCTGATGTCCAGGGTTGCAGAAGAGGCCAGCTCCCTTTCTAAGTGATATCTGCCAAGCATACTGAAGGAGCTATACTTGGAAACCAAGAAAGGGCCATTTTAAAGGGCGGTACTGTCTTTAAGATAATTAATGCTCTTGTGCTTATTTACGAGGATATACTCTTCAATGCGTTGGAAGAATTTGTAAGTAGATGGCATGAAACAGGAGAGCTTTAAAGTCATCTTCCCTGTTCACTGGATTTGCAGATCTGTGTTCTCCATCTGCAAGACAACGTGTATTTGTGGATTAGCAGATGGTGCCTTGTGTTAAAGCAAGTTTTTGCTCGTTGTACCAATACCAGAGGCTTTTTTGTATTACTTATCTCTGCTTCATTAAGGAAAGGATTTGCAGAGGCTGTCTAAACTTGAGGGCTTTTCTCACATGTTAGAGGGGATTGCAGTGTTTTGGAAACTCAAGTTGCCCCTCATCTACGCTACTCAATTGAGGTGTAAAAGACAGCATATTTTATGATGCAGAAGTTTATTTCTTATTCTTGTTGTTCTTATTTCCCACTTAGCAGCACAAAATTCTTTAGAAGGGATTTTTTTGCACATAAAATAGCCTTTTCTGGCTTCCTGTAAAAATTTGTAGATGCATTATATATGCAATAGCAGAAAATTCTGTGTGCTTGTTTCTTCTGCTTTAGAATATATACATATACATACATACATATGTGTATATACGTGCACACACATGCACACACAGCCTTAATCTCTATGGCTTTAGATAACAGAAATAGAGCTTTCCTTCCCTCAAGGCAAGCGATAACCTTCTCAGTGATTTTCGAAGGGCTGGAGTCTGACCCTTCTCTGCAGCCAGCACTGATTTCGTGTCCCCAGTGTTACACTCTGCAACTGGTGATGGGTACCACTGCCCTTCCCGCACCATGTGTCACCTGTACCCCAGGAATTCACTAGCTCGAAAGGAAATTGGACTTGTCAGCCCTGAATGAACGCCCTATCCCTGCAGAGACATACGGGCTATTTAATCATCGCCGTCACTGTGTACCACCGTGGGCTTGTCAGACGATGATAGTAAGATGTTTCATGCTAAACTAACAAAATTCCTCTTTCACAGCTATTTGATCCACATGATTTGTACACAGGAGAACAGTTCTCCAAAGTCCTGAGTACGTTAACAGCTGTAAATAAAGCTACTGAAGGTAAGAAAAAGGCTTTTTCTATCCTCTTTTCAAATGCCGTCTCTTATGTAAGCTGTTGAGGTTTTTTTTGTTGGATTTTTTTTTTTTGGTAATTCATAGTTTATAATGATTTCTGGAGGCTTGGCTAATTGTGCTGCCAACACTGTGTACTGGACAGTAGATCAACATCTCATTTTTTTACTGACTTCAGGTTTAAATGTAATAGTTCAAAGTTACTGTGTGCACTTTACAGAGTTAAATTGTCACTTTACGCTAAGGGACCTCTGGACAGTTTTGACAATATTAAGGGACCTCAAAGTAGGTCGTTGTAAAGGAGCCTGAATGTAAAGGAGCATGCACCTCCCAAAATGCAAATGTCAGATTTTAAACAGTATGTTTTAAAGCTGAATAGAAAAATAGGTCCATCTGCGTGATATCTTTACTACATGCCAAAACAAACATAGTTGCCAGATGCTCAGTCAATTGTATTGATGTTTCTTTCTTTCCTCTCCCTCGATCTGTGAAGCAGAGTCCTGTAATTGGAAATCAAATGCGGACAATTGCCACTGATGACTTGTCCTGCTCCACTTATTGCAGGAGCAGGCTGCCAAAGCAAAGCACATCAGCTCCTCTTTTCTTCCTTCCTAAACATTTAGCTGTTCTCTACATACTGCTTTGTACTAATATGCAGTCAAATAGGCTTTGAAAGGAGCAGTTCGATAGGGAGTGCGAACAGATTTTCTGTATTTTTATAGACAGTTCCCTACTTTTGTACTGACCAGAGGAAATCATTACAACATCATATTCTGGGAAGGGTTGAGAGGACTGGGGTGTCTTTAATGAGGGCCTGAGAAACAGGTCCACATTAATCTGAAAAGAGTTTGGAGTGGGGAAAGCGTTTATGGGCCCCTGTCTTGCCAACAAATTTCCTTGAAGAGTTCTGTGTATCCACCAAAATCCAAGACCAGGATCAGAGCTTGCTTTCTCTGTTGTAAATTGCATTTTAGGTGATTAAAAGCAGAAGAAATCAACCCCGCCAACACTATTTTCCTTTCATGAGAAGGATGTTCTGTTGACTTACTGCATTTTTCCCCATTCTGGTTTGTAGCGGTTTCCTCACTTGTTTCACCACTTTTTCTAGTTAGCTTTTACTTTTGCATTCTCTTCTGCTTGTACAGTGCTGGAGAGCTGCTCAGGTGTTCAATTAAACAATCTCATCACTGGAACTGAACCCCCTTTCCCTTTTTTCTCTTTTCTGTTCTGATGCTTTGTAACATCTCAAGTGTGTGTGTGTGTGTGTGTGTGTGTGTGTATAAATACTATATTTTGTATTACATAAGTGCATACGTTATACAAACAGCAACAGCACATATACATATATACACATACATATGTATATTCATGTGTATTATATATATGCACACACACGTGTGTGTTGCTGAATTCTGCTCTGAAGAAATACAGGTTCTTAGACTACCTGCCTCCAGCTAGCACACAGGTCTGCTGCCAGCTCGCTCCCTAGAAGTCAGCAATGGTAATTCAGCCTCAGCACATCTTCTTGAAGACTCTTACTGGTCCATTAGATTACAGTACCCACCAACGCAATTCAGAAGATTCTTGCAGTTCAGTAGGATGGGCATATAAAATGCAGGTTACCTAGACAGCCTTTGCAAACGATGTAATTATGATATTGGCTTCCTTATTCTGAAAGCAAAAGGAGGAAGAGGCCTTTGCTGCCCTTGTGTCTGCGTGCTGTTGAACTAGGGGGAGCAAGCTGTCGCTCCCTGTGCGCCGATGGGACAGCAAAGCCACGGTGCCATTGTTGCAGCGGTCCCCTTGTTAGCAGCCCCATCTCAGTTCTTGCAGTGTTCGGCAATCCCTGCATGAAGCTCGAGATGTGGCTTTACTGTGGAATAGTTGCTGTCACGCATTACCGAAGGGGCTATAGGGAAGCTGGGATCTTCTTGGTTTCATGGCAAACATCTGCTTAAACATATGCTTTCTCTGTTTAAATGTTAAAAAGCGCAATGCCTGTGATATAATTAGCTGCTCAGACAGAGAACACCCTTGGGGAAAGTCCAGGGTAAAAAAAACTGCATGTCTAGAATGCTTGCCTTTTTGGTGGCTTGGCCAAGTTCCTGAGAAACAGGAGCCTGTGTCCTACAAACCAGGACTGCAGAAGGCCCAGTTAGTCCATCTAACCAGAGAGGCCAAGGGCTGAATGGAGGGTCAGGATCAAACCTCCTTTTTCCTTCTCCATCTGTGCCCTTGGCAGTGCCGGGCTGAGCTGGGGGAACAGGACAGGGCATTCCCTGCCCCGGTGGTGCTCGGCTGTCTGGGGATGAGCCAGCCATTCCCTGCAGTGCTGGCTGTGGCTGTGCTGGAGGAGGGGTTGCGGGCCTGCTCCCAGCTACTTCCAGCCCTGCTATCCCAAGGGCTGCGACATGCCTGTGCCTGCCTCCGGAGCGACTGCATCCTGACATCCTCGTGGGAGATAGAGAGAAGTAGGTGACAGCTAAGGAAGTGATGTGACAGTGTGTTTCTGAGCATCCATTTGAAGCCTGAATCCTTGTGTCTTCATGGATCCTGTTATGCAAATAACTAGAAGCATCTTTTGTATTGTATAAACTCAGCACAGCAGCTGTCTGTCAAATGACAGCAATATAGACCTCGATGCTTTTATTTTCAAGAGAGGGCAGGTGAGGAAACCCAGCCGTGATGGATCAGGCCAGGCTGATCTGCCTAAAATAGAGTAAGAATGTGAACAGAAAACCCAGCTATTTTAACCATAGTTTAAACAACATATGGCAGCAGCATTCTCTGCTGGACCAGGCATAAAATAGGATGCTGTCATGATGCAATATAAATGATACGCTTCCCTGCCAAACTGTCAAAGTCAGTTTTACATTTGTTTCTAGGTTGCTGCAGATATTTATAAAAGCATTGGAAGATAGGGAGGGGCGGAGAGAAGCATAAAATCTACCGTAACCAAGTCATTTCCGTGAGACTGTTGCTCACTGCTTGAATAAGCGGAGAAGTCTAGACTTGCGGTTTGCACCCTCTTTTTAGAACAAATCAAGGGAATAAGAACATCTCAAACTGGCAGCTGGCCGCCCCTCCTGGTCTGCGAGTCACTGGGAACAGCTGAAACCACTCCTGCTCAAATATCAGGATGCTTTGGAGGAAAAAATCCTGTGTTTGCAAAGTGGGTTTTCCATGCTGAAAGGTTTTGTTATTGCTGCTGCAGTCCAGAGACCTGAGAATTCACTGTGTGGTCATCAGGCAATTGTATGACAAGTAAGGCAAGAAGCAGAACTGACTCACTGACAGCACTAGGTTTAACATGAGTGTTGCCCCTTGTTCGCTTGGTCTGCAGGGACCATGCAGACCAAGGCAAGTATATAACCATACTTGCCTGATTTGCAAGGCAGCAGTGCCTGGGAGTCGTAGTCACGGACCTCGTCCCCGTTGCGCAAGGCGTTTTAGAAGGACAAAGCAAAAGGCAGTCCCCTCTCCAAATAAATTGCAATGTGTGTTGCTCGTGGTCCAAACTAAGGCTGAGATGTTTTTCTACTTAAACAAAAATCCTCTGGGGAGAAAAAAAGGCCCAGCTGAATTCCTGTAACTCCCACCAAACTTCCCTTTCGGGATGTTTTTTCCATACTGATGTTGAGACCGGAGGATAATGGGGGCACAGCAGTCTCATAGTCTTTATTTTCTAGTTGCTGCACACACTTGGCAGCTGTTCTTCTGGAGAGTGCTTCTGTTGCAAAGTTTTCAAAGAAAGGCTCTACACATTTTGCAGGGGAGTTGTACACCCAGCCTAGTGAAGCCTATGGAGAGTGGTCTCCCCTTCCCAGTCCTCCTTTAGTGGTTCATGGGAAGGCTGAGTCCACCCTGCAGATAGAACACAAGTTCTTGGGAATACAGAAAAGTTCTTAAATTTAAAAAGAAGCTAGAAGTCAGATCTCTAAATTTGCCACGCTTCGCATTTTACTGAAATGATAATAGTTGCCTTTGCTCCATTTGTGCACAATGGCACATAGAACGGAGATGATTTGATTGCTTTCCCACGGTGCGGTATGAGGTATAGTAGCAGAGACCTCCGGGAAATGATGGTGGCTTGAAACTTGTGTTTTTACTGCTCTGCAGCATCCAAGCAGAATTCTGGGTTGAGTGGAGGGAGGTCCTATAGTCGTTGATACTGCTTTTTGTGGTGAGGCCACTGATTCAATCTCAGCTCGAGGCAGTTGTGACCAGGAAGCTTTTTGCCATCCAGCAAGTTTTTCAGTAGCAACATAGAAACAAACCGTTAATCATGAAACGCCAAATATGTGTCAGAGCAGTGTCATTATCCGCAGCATCAGGCATGTGGGGTCAGGAACAGCCCCAGAGACTAGCTTGTGAAGGAGTAAGCGTTGAGCGCGTGAAGGAAGCAACTCCAAGAGCAGCTGGGAAGGTTCGATCCTTTCTGTGGGCTGTCAGTCTCTTGAGGGTGACACTTGTCCTTCCTCAGGGTAGGCTGCACCCCTCAGTCACATGGTTAATGGCAGCAGTCCACGGAGAGTAATCAAAATTGTGCATAGCCTCTTCCAGCTGTATAATGAATCCAGAAGGACTCATCTAAATAGGGAAACGATTGTGTTTAGCAGCTGTTCAGCATTCTTCCCTACTCTGTGAGGAAGCCCTCACTACAGCTGCAGAGGTGACCTAAGAGCGCTCACTTGTGAGCTAACCTTTGAAATACCTTCAACAGTGCTAACGTGGATGCCAGGAACATTCCCCGTGGCGCAGCCTTGGGCGAAGTGTGAGTTTAGTTCATCCTAGTTCTCAACTGTTTTAAGGGCGATTTCAAAAAATATTGCGATCAGCTCAGTGGCTGTAGGGCTGGCATAACCTAGGAGTGTCTGAGGATGCAGTTCAGCTTACTCCATCATGGAAGAGAGTTGGCAAAACCATCAGCACTGCAAAACCATCCTCCCTGCTGACGAGGAGTACCCACATGGGAGGTGTGGTGCACCAGCTATTTTGCTCTGTTGGAGGCTCCTTCAACCATTGTGCCCTGTTATTGTCTTCTGAGTGTTTTACTCTCTTTGCTGTAATGCAGAGGGGATGTGGACAGTTGGGTAAAACACAGACTTTGTTTTTGCTTCACCAGATCAACCGTCAAAAAAGCCATGCTCTCAAGTATCGTCTCTTAGCTCTGCAGCTGGAGGTCCCCACACTAACACCAACGGCACAGCTTCACAGTCAGCAAGGGTGTTAAGGAGGCAGTCCAAAGCTGTGGTATCCTTTATTTAAAATCTAATCAAGGGTTTGATGGCTGTGGCATGGAGGAGTGCGAGTGATACCTGTGGGTCAAGCATGCCAAAGTGACTTGTGTTCTGCCCTCGGCTACATCACGGCTTTGCTGCCCCAGCTGGCGATAGTGTCATGGCTTCTCCAAGCTTTGATGCTCCTCTCTGAGAGATGAGGAGAACCATGCTTATCTGCCTTCCGTTGCACTATGAAACTTAATTAATACTTGGGAGGGACGGTATGATCCTCTGATGGGAGCTCTTACATGAGAGCAAGAATATTGTTGGTATTAAAAAGTGCAATACTGAAGAAGCCAGCTGTAACAACAAGAACGAGCAATGGCTTGTCCTAGTGGCTTCTACATTACCTTTTGGATTATTAGCTAATGTTTTTCCGTATTTCTTTCCTTAGGAGATGACCGAGAATGGCAGTCATCAACTGGTGGTAAAGGCCAGGTTCAATTTTAAGCAGACCAATGAGGATGAACTCTCTGTTAACAAAGGAGACATTATTTATGTCACCCGAGTTGAAGAAGGGGGCTGGTGGGAGGGGACCTTGAATGGAAAAACAGGCTGGTTCCCAAGCAACTACGTCAGAGAAATCAAATCTACCGGTAAGCAAATTGCTTTCAAGGGCTGATTGAATGACAGCAGTATAATGCAGTGTAGATCCTTATGCCTTTGGGAAATTGCTGCTATTTATTAAGGACTGTTAGTGTGCTTAAAGCAACAGCGCTAATGGAAGTATGAATGGGACCAGAAGGGGCAAGCCTAGCTTTTCGCATGACTTGTTTGAGAGCTGCCTCTCCCTCTTCTCCAATCCAGCGGGTCCATGCAATGCTCTGCCCAGCCCCGGCAGCACAGTGCAGGAGCAGGGACAGCTTCCGGCACTGGAGGAGGAGGCTGGAGAATGCTGTGTGGGTCTGCTTGGCTCCCTTTGTTACAAGGAGCTATTAGGTCTTTCCAGCGTCTAAGCACAGAATTACCTTTTTGTTTAAGGCCTTTTGTCAGGCCTTGTATTTGGCTTTGATCCTGCCATTTCTGGCAGTGGTAGAAGGAATGCTCACAATCTCCGTGAAGAAGCCAACAAAAACTATATGGCCATAGGGAACAATTCCCCGTTTTCATGCATAGCTATGGTTGATTTCACATAGTACGTTTTCCCCCCAGATGCATCTTCTGCTGCGAAGCTGCAAGCAATATAGAGAAAAGAAAAGGGAGGGAATGATCAGTCTGATGACATTTGCCTTCATTGAGCTTTGTCTTTAGTTTTCATAGCATTTTCTGAGATGTGATTTTAACCAGATGTGCAGAGATGATGACATGAAAGATACCCCTGGCTAACTGCCCTGTAATGGCCCACATCCATTCAACCAGCTCACCCTGCTGGGTTTCTCAGACCATTGTGTGACAGTAAACTTTTTTTTTTTTTTTTAATCCAACTTTAATTTCCTAATGTGCCTTGAGGGCTTACCCTCGACAGAGAACCCTTGTGTGCTAGGTGCTGTAGTTACGGGTCAGGATGAGCCCTGGCCTCAAACGCTGTGAGACATTGGGAGTGGTCTGCAAAGTGAACGCAAAATTTACAACTTTTGCTGCCATACTTGCAAGCAAAAAAGCAAAGGAGGGAAGAATAAAATTAATGAGTGAACATTCAGAATTAGGCCAGTTTTTATTTAATTCTAAATGAAAAAAAAAATCATTGTTAGAATATCTCATCTCCCGCTATTTCCCTCTGGGAAACGATGTCTGAGCTGGAGCAGGACGTTACAGTGTAGATTGAGGGCTTGTCTGGCACAACCCAGGAATGACTAACGAAGTCAGTGAGTGGAGAAGAAAAACATCTTTAAAAGGAGAGCAAACTTCTGTCCCGTGGGGGAAGTCAGATGGGAGTTTCATGAAATAACAGCACCTCAGTGAAGCAAGGGACAAATCTCCCATTGCTTCTAATGGGTGCCTGCCAGAGTCTTTCATCTGCAAAGCTTTTCCCTCCATGTTCTCTCTCCAGCACCAAGGCTGAGTAACCACCATCCTCCCATTTCAAATGGGAGGAGGGTTCATTCCTCCAGGGTGCAGGCACAAAGCCGACAAACAGTCTTTGCTTGCTGCAGGGGATGTGGCCGTGTTGCAAGTGACTAGTGCAGGGACCACCACCCTGGCCCTGCGTAAGGCTCTCGCATGCCATGACCTGCTGCACCAGGAGGGGGGCTCTGCTTGCGGGGGGTACAGCCCTCGCTGCATGCCAGCGGGGGCTGCTTTCCTGAGCCTCACCTCCAAGGTGTGAGATTTGTCACCCTAAATAGAGTTACTTGTTTTTCAGCAGTGTCTGCACTCACACTGTGTCCTAAGCGCGCCCTTCAGGTTGTAATAACTCGCTGCGTGGAGCAAAGCTCCACTGAGTCTTTAAATGAAGCACAGAGCTCATGGGGCTGGAAGTGACAGGAAACTCCACAAGGGCAATAATTAGAAAATACATCAAGCTGTGGCTTCCAAGGGCTAAATTTATCAACTTCGGCTTCTCCCCTGCTATCAGTGTGAAAGTAATTGCCTTTCAGAAGCTGTTGCTTGAATGCAGGGAAAAAGAAATGCCTGGCAGCTCTGCCTGGCAGGTTTTGGGCTCTTCCTACACAGACACGTTTCCCACCGCCCGCAGAGGGTGAGCACCGCGTTCAGGGCCTGCGCTGAGAGCCTTGCAGCGCTGGCCTGTACGAGCCTGAGGGAGCAGCGTTACCTCCGCGGTGGCAGGAGTACTGTCGAAGCCGTTCTCCCGTGGAGAACCAGGACCAAGCCGCACCTGCAATGGGAATGTCTCCCTGCGCACGCGGGGGTTTCACAGCTACAGCACGACTCCAGAGGAACTGAGAAGTACTGGCAGCTTCCTGGCAGAGGTGTTGTTTCCTCCGATGCAAGCACACACTGATTTGTTGTTGTGTGTTTACTGGCAGGGAGCGCTCTTTTCTAGGGAAGGAACAAAGGAGCGGTGAGTGTGTGTGTGTGTGTGTGTGTGTGCACACATGTGCGCGCCTTGCTGGATGCATCTGTAGCAATTCGGCAAATGGGAAAAAACAAAGATGAAAATTGACTTCCAGGTTTGTGTGGGCTCTTTGTTCAAATCTGCCTTGGTTCAGCGGAGGATTTTACATCACAAAAGACTGCAGGGATCAGGGTTCAACTTATTAATTGGAGTTTGCTTCAAATACCTTGTGAATTGCCTGGAGCAAAACCCTGTATACAGCACTTTTAATAGACTTCCAGTTCTAAAACCCAAATTTTGTGAGCTGGGTGAAGCCACGCTGTAGCTCCAGACGGCGCCAGCCGCTGGGCTGCTGCCAGGGATTTCAGTGCAAACCTGTAAATGTCAGTGGTGGAGTCTGTGTTCTGGGTCTGCTGCAACTCCCCCAGCTGTTGGGGTCACGCATGCCTTACGTTTGCTCCTGTTTTTTTAAAAGCAGAAAAACAAACCCTGCAGTTGAATTTTTCTGTTTACAGAGGTGAAGGTTTTTTTGCAGTCTGGTGGATACAATACAGCAGCGACTTTTCCTGGTAGGATAATGGGAGTTCTGCAATATAATTTATTGATGTATTTCTTTGTACAGATAAACCACTCTCTCCCAAAGCATTAAAAGGACTTGAAAGCACTCAGCTGACAAAGAATTATTACCCTGTGGTAAGTTTTAAAGCGCTGATTGTACATTTTAATAAGTAGCCTATTATTAATCTTCTGAACTGGCTCCTTCCCTTAGAAGTCATTGAAGCAATTTGTAACAATTGGAGATGTGACTCTGTATTTAAATGCAGCTGTTGCCATTTCCTTGATTGAGGATGTTTACTGGGTTGTCACAAATGGAAGATGCTGCAAGATGTCTAAAAGTTGAACTCGAAGTAGGCAACTGAGATAACACAGCAGTTTTGAGATCAGTGTTGGAGAAAAAGTCATTATGTTTCTGTTCCATTCTTTTCCTTTGAATGTCAGTTATCTTCCTCTGACGAAGATGGGGAGATAATGAGCTGTGTCACGGAGTAAAGCAAGCCAAATTGGAGCTCCAGTCCACGATCCCTTCCTTTGGTAAAACTGTGGTGGCTGGAGATGTTGCACCCTGAGCTGTCTACCCTGTGCCTCTTCCAGAAGTTTCAGCCCTCGGAGAAGGGGCAGCTGCCACTGTTCACAGCCTGACCTATTAACTGGAGGTCATTTTGGAGCAGGTCAATATGCCAGGCTATGAACTGCGGGAGCAAAAGGGGTAGAGAAGCATCTTCTCTTCTCTACCATCTTGCTACAGGAGTGATAATGTCTAGCAAAGGCGGGCAGGTTCCTCCCTACTGTGTCCAGCCTAGAGTAAGCACTGTGGTGCAAGAGAGTTCAAATGCCTGCATGTGAACATCTCTGGCTCTCAGTCCCAGAGGTGAAACATGTTCATCAGCATGTCAAAACATATTTCAAAGAAAGCAAAGTGGGAACATGTCCGGAAAGCTAGGAGCCACCTCCGCTGCCTCAAAAGCTCTATCAGCACTGTGAAACTTGAGATCGTGAAGGCAGTGGGTTTGACTGCCCTACTGCTGGAGATGACTTAGCTGCTGAGATGGATTAGCAGGGCCAAACTGAATTCAGCACTTCCTCAAAGTGGCAAGTGAGCTGTGCTCTGGCTTGAGCTGTCGCAGGAGCCGTCTTTGTTCTGGCCACTGGTGCATTTAAATCGTTGCCTGCCTACCTGCAATCGGTGGTCCCAGGATGCATGCACAAATCATTTGTTTGCATACCTTGGCAGCCAGTTCTGCATGCAGGGTTAGGCATGAGCCTTTTCGGGGGTCAAATACCAAACTCAGATCTGATTCACGTTGTCTTCATGCTTTGCCAGAGAAGAAGGTGCAGCCCTTAACACCTGCTTTCCAGGACTTACCCAGTTTGCAAAGTTAAAACCAGAAATTGGATCCCTAGGGCTTTCCTGAGCGTTCTGGGTTCTGCATTAACAAATGTAAATGCATTTATAGACTCAACATGCTCTTCCTGGTTGTCCCACGCTTGGAAGCTGATGTCATGTTCCTGTAACTAGTCACTAGTACTAAGATCTACTCAGTGCTCTGTCTCTCACCCTAGGTGTTGCAAAATATTCTGGAAACAGAACGAGATTATGCGAAGGAACTCCAGTCACTTCTGGGAACTTACTTAAGACCCCTCCAGTCTTATGATAAGTAAGATATAAGGGCATCTGAGATGGACAGAACCCTGTAAAATTGACCATAGTTCATTACTTTTCCGCCTTTGAATGTTTAGGGACTGTTACTGCTCTTCTTGTAAAGCCTCAGAACTTCTCTGTGAACAAGAAAAAGACTGTGTTTGTGCAGGTTTCTGCTCTTTCCTGTTCCTTAGTGATCATGCAGACGTCCAGCTGTGTTAGAGATGGGCATTTCCTTCTGGTAGATGGCTGGCTGTTACAATCCATCTGCAAGCTCATATGTGACTGTCCTGGCATGCATGTGTCCTGGCGGTTTGCCTTGCATGGCTTCTTTCCTTGTAATTTGTCTTGCTGTGACTTCTCAGTCCCAAGTGGCATCTTCTTAGTCATTTCTTCATTTAGTGAGCCAGGAGGTATATTCTCTTCGTTTAGATTGCTTAGTCTGAACTGCTTCTGAGCAAGCCCCTCTCTCCCCGTCTGTACTGTGATCTATTTAAAGCGCTTCTTTGTTCAGAAACAGCATGCTGCCGTTTCTCATGGCGCAAGCAGTGTTTGGACGACTGAGGGCCTTTGTCGAGGTTTACCTGTGGAAATAAGTCGTTCTGTTTTCCATCAGTGGTGAGTGTGCTTCAGAGTCAGCACACACCGGGTCACGTCCACAGGATTCCCTTGCGCTTTACCCAGAGGACAATAGACAGCACTCTGCATATCAACAGATTTGCATCAGTAGATTCTAAAATACTCAGTGCAGTTAGCTTTATCCTGTGCTTTTTTCCTCAGCTTTGCGGTTGTCTGCCCCAAACAGCGTCCAGGTCGGCAACCCTGACCGTGTAGCGTGCAGCTGTGTTGGGGCAGGGGCCCCTCGGTTGAGTGCGCTGCCGGGAGGACCGGTCAGCCCCGAGGCATCACGGGCAGGGGGCAGATGTTTAGACATCTTCCAGTCTGGAGAGATGGGACAGCAGTATCTTAAGGCCTGTCTATTTAAATCTCTCCTTCCTTCCCCGAATCATCACATGAGATATCTTCAGCTGTGAAAAATTCTCATCCTCTCAGCCTGGCTTCCCTGTAGGCAGCAATTCACTTATATGAGGATTGTAAGATAGTGACAGTGAGACATTTGGCTCTGAGGATGACAGGAGCAAAGACATTACCTCTGGCTAGGAAAAATCCAGCCTTACGCATGGGACAGAACAACCCCTACCTGAGGGGCCACATTATAAGACCCTCCTCCAATAGGAAAACCCACAGCATGCATCTGTGAAGACAACGCTGTCTTTGTGTCTGTGCACACACCTCCCTCCCCGCCCCTTTGAGAAATCCCATCTGTCTGTGTCTATTAGATAGCTAAATATCTGAGAAGATTAGTGTGATTAAGTGATTAAAATCCAATTAAGTTAATCCTTGACAGCAGACATCTTCTCCGGGAGGTTGTGGCCTGTAGCTTGCAGATCATGGATTTTGGTGTTTTATCATGTTTAATGGTGTATCTGGGGGAAGCAAAAATTCTTGGGCCGTTTTGGAAGGACTGCTCACAGATGCTGTGGGAGTTCTCCTGAAAGGTCTGCTTAGAGGCACTGTGCAGCATCTCTTTGATGCTAATTGGTGATTTGACTCTTTTAGGCTCAGTGCTGTGGACATTGCATCGTTACTGGGAAATGTGGAAGAAATCTGTGCGTTTCAGCAAACGCTGAACCAGGCCTTGGAAGAAGTTGCAAAGTAAGCTCCTGCCATGGCACTGAGGGTGTTAAGCTATTAGACTGTGTCTAAAAATAATAGAAAGACCCATTCATTAACGTTCATCCTGGCTGCTGTCTGAGGCTTGTCACATACGGAAGAAAATAACGGAACTGAAGAAAGGCGGCAGGTAGTGCTTTGACAGGAGGGAAGGCAGAAGAAACTTTGCCATTTCTCCTGTAAGGCATCTACTGAAACACATGACACAAAAGTGTCACAAGCCCAAAGACGCAGACGTGGGCAGGGTGGGAGATCTGGCAGGCATGACGGTAGGGATTGTCAGTGGGAAGAGAGAAAATTATCAGAGGTAACAATATCCCCCAGGGAGGCTGGAAGACGTGTCAAGTCACGAGCCTTAACGTATGGTTGGTATGTCGGTGCTCGTAGGCTCCCTGAGAACCAGCAGCGAGTGGGAGGCTGTTTTATGAACCTGATGCCCCAGTTCCGGTCCTTGTACCTGACGTACTGTGCTAACCACCCATCTGCAGTCAATGTCCTCACGCAACACAGGTGAGTGATGGAGAAGGAGATTGGGATGGAAATTCCTCCTTTAAAAAGTTATTAATAATATGTGGCCTGGCATGGCTTTTGCCCAGGATTTTGGCAATAGGGTGTGCAGATAACACGGGATCCTGCTGCTGGGAAAATGGCTGGGGCTTTGGGCTCTTCAGCATAGCCTCTGAGCTTCAGCATGGAGACAGCTCTGGGAGCTTTGCTCATGTAGTTCTGCTCTGCACTGGTCTGTGTGATCAGTGTTCGAGCTGGTCTCACAGGTCTAATCTGTACATGCAGGACTCTCACACCGTGAGTAAAACAGAGGCAACCTCAATTTACCTCACTCGGCCCATGCAATAGCGTCTCCTATGACTGCTCCTTGCTTAAGGACCCAGATGCTGTTACAGCCCTGATGCTGAAATTCTCACACACTTGCAGATGGGAGTATGTTTTCCTACATATGGCACTACGGTGTGGAGCACATCACTGCAAGTGGAGGGTGCTCAGAAAATCTCCTGAGTTATCCAGTTCAATAACTGAGCTGCTGTTCAAGAGGGCAGTTGCTCTGAGAGGTCTTTGGTACATCACTATAATAACATCTTCCTTCAAAATGTGCCACCTGAGCAGACACCTGAATTTGTGTAATGTCATGCTAAAGAGTATGCTAAGCTGAAAGGCTACAATTATGTCATCTCTAATGCAGTTTAGCTATCCTTCCCACAGTGATGTGAAAGCCAGGACTGCAGCCATACTGTTTAATTCTTCCCTTTCTGTAATGGAAGCTTGCAGTGTATTTACTTACCTGTTGAAATCCAACTTTAATTCAGCCTAATGAGAAGTCTGGCTTCTGTAAATGACTCATTCATTTGGGTCATTAGTCTGACCCCTTTTCTTAAATCAAGCAAACAATCAGTTTTGGCAAATGTACGGACATGCACAAGCCGTGTTTTCCAAAGTGGTGTGCGTGCTAACATCAACGTCACTGCTACCGGCATGGTCCCTGAGCCCAAGCAGCATATTGCTGCGGCATCCTCCAGCGTAGCGCGAGCGCCTGCAGCCCACGCTCTAGATGATCCGGCTGGCCCTGCTCTTCCTCAGTCTGCTGGGGGAGCGGCAGCCAGCATCAGTGTGCCCCTGGATACTGCACGCACAAACATCTGCCACCGCGCAGCACCCTCTGCAGCATCCCCTGGAGGAACGGTCTTGCTTGGCCTCACGCTAGCTGCAACCCCACTGGCTGGCTGGGTTTGCCACCAGGGAGGTCCCTGGAGAGGGCTTTGGACTGCCTTTAAAACAGCGTAGCTCAGAGCAGAGCCTCAGCCATCGGGAGAGTGTGGGAGGCAGCAAAACACAGCCCTCGGCAGCAGCGAGCGCTGATACTTTTTGTTGTCTCTGTTTATAGTGATGAGCTGGAGAAGTTTATGGAGAGCCAGGGTGCGGCCAACCCAGGCATTCTCATCTTAACCACCAGCCTCAGCAAACCCTTCCTGAGGCTGGATAAGTATGTGACACTTCTGCAGGAGCTGGAGCGGCACATGGAGGTAGGCGGGATGTGGGACCGCTGTGTCCCTTGGTGCTGCAAGGGCTGTCCCCAGACAGCGAGAGGCAGCTCTGCCCATTCCTCTAGTATTTGAGCACCATGCTGCTAAAAATACTTTGGAGGTGGGAAAGGGCTGCAATACCTGCATGGGAGCCTTTCAGCTTAAAAGTAGGAGAGTGGTGGAGGACTCTGAGGGGGAGTTGTGGGAAGACAGTGCCTGCTCCTCACCCGAGGCCTTCACAAAGGATGGACCAGTTCCAGCCCAAGCTAAAGCAAGAGTTCAGGGTCAGGCTAGAGCTGATACTTATTTGCCCAGCAGGTGGTAATTCAGTGTTTTTATAATCATTTCCCATCCCCAGCCCCTCGCTCCCGCCACACACAGGCAACCCCACCCCCTCACCCGAGATTTGTGCTCATCAGTCGAAACGCACCCACGCAGGCGTTGATCTGGCACGGAGCACAAACGTGGGAGTGAGGAGGGAGCGCCTGGGAGCAGGCATGCAGCGAGGGGGGATAGAGACCTTCCCGGTGGGGGCAGATGTGCTCTCGGATGTTCCTCGTTCCTGGGGCTGCCGTTGTCTCCATCTCTCCTCTGCTGCTGGAGCTCTGCCGTTCACCTGCTGGTGCGCTCCAGCCAGGGGGATGCAAATCTCCAGGGGGGATGTAAGGAGGTGAGGAAAACAGAAATCACAATCGTTTTTTAACCAGGCTTGCTTTTCCCTCTTCCAACGTTAATCACCAGTTAATTATTTGGCAAAATTAGCCACGTTTGTTCAAATCCACATCTCAGCCAGAGGATTAAAACCTCTGTGCTTGAGACGGAGGTTTTTCTGCGTAAGAGAGGGCATAAGACCCTACACTGGCCTATCCCGCTCTCAGCTGGCACAGCTAAGCAGCAAGGACAGGGCTGAGCTTGGCTGTGGCGACCGTGCCCATTCAGACACTCAGGTGCCCTTTGCAGGATGCTGTCTCCTGGTAATGCCAAAGCCTCCCCAGTTCCTACACATCTCTGTGAGACCTTGCAGCAGCAGTAGCAGTGGAGGTGACCATTTCTGGGATGCTGTGGCAATGCAAGTGCGTTCAGGTGCCTTTAGAAATACAGCGGGGAGGAGGTATGAGACCGCTGCCTTGTGAGCAGGGCGTACCTTCCGGGATTTGACCTCTATGCCTAGATTCCCGCATTGGGATCTTTGCAGCAAGACCAGGAAACATGCATCACCTTGCATTTGGCTAGTAGAGGCTGCTGTTCCCAGCGCAGCCACCAGTTTGGGGCTGAGGAGGAGGAGGGAAGGACCTTGCTGGACAAGCGCATGCTTTATCTCACCTTGAGTTCAGCCTCCAGCAAGGGCTGGTAGTGGAGGGACAGGGAGTTACATGCAGCAGAGACTTCTTAAGCCGGAGGTTGTGTTTAATACTCCCTGGAGGGGGGTAGCTCTTTGATTTTGGCCCTGTTTGTGTTTCTGAGTTCCCCTGCATTGATGCTCTCCTGCAGCTTGTGATAAACTGGGCTGGCCTGTGCTGGTCTGCGTTTGCAGCAGTGCCCGAGGTTCCTAGCACTGAGCTCAAACTGCAGAGAGGCTCAGAGCCTCTCTTGCCTACCTTTGCGATGGCTACCCTTAGGTGTTGTGGCCGCAAGCCAACCAGAGTGAGAGCGGTCAGCTGGGGACTCGGGGACACACACATCAGCTATTTTTCTTAATTTCTAAGTGTGGTGGTGGGGTTCTTATAGCATGACTCATTAGGGTTGAGGTTTTGAGCTGTGGCCCCCTGGGAAGAGCATGGCCCCTACCTGAGGGGGCCATGTATGCAGTAGAGATGCATGCAGAATGGATATATGCAGTACAGATGTATGCCATAGCATCTCGCACACCGCTGCGCAGCTGGAGACGGGGCAGGTCTGTTCAGGGCAGCACAGGGCCAGGATTCAGGGGCAAGCGACTCCAGAAAGCCTCTGACAGCCGCAGGGAGATCTCCGTCACAGCCTCGGCTCCTTGTGATTTGTGTGGCTGCTGGGCACAAGGTCTGGATGGCAAAGCGCTTATGATGTAGGGCCCTAGACGTGCAGGAGAAGGTGCCGGGAGAGTACCAGCATGCAGCTGGAGTCAGAGATAAGTGGCAGCACCCTGCTTTCCCGTCCTCTGCCCAGGAGCTTCCCACTCAGGTATGCTCTCCTTTAAACCTGGAGGTGGAGCTCCCATTAGTGTTCATGGACAGCCTACCCTTGGTGGGGCAATGGCTGGAATATCTCACAGATAGAAGTTTCCTTTGTGAATATGGGAACAGAAATCCACCCTACACCGTCTGGCTGTTGTCACTGGTTTTCTTTGTAGGCTGAGTTTGGTCTAAGAAAAATCATACCTGCTCTTGCACTGGCCACTTTAACACTCATTATATAGTTTGATATCAATGCCTTGAGTAGCTGCTCTAAAACATGTCGAGCTGAATGGGGTGATGAGGAAGCCAAGTGTGGAATCGGGGGGATTTTTGTCCCCTTCTGCTGTCCATGCTGCCTGTGCCCTGGGTCCTGCTTCCTTCGGGGCCCTGCAGCCATGGGTGCACTGGGGCAATTGGACACTTCTCGAGGCTGTTGCTGGTCATGGCTCAGAGATTTTTCTTTCCCTTCACTAGGAGGCGCATGCAGATCATGAAGAGGTTTTGAAAGCAGTCACATCCTTCAAGTCTCTTGTGGTAGGTGGCAATTCTTAAAATAGAGCGCTCCATTTCAGGGCTGTGTTTCACAAAGGATGAGTCAAGGCTGACATTTGTCTCCTTGTTAAAAAAAAAAAAAAAAAGAAAGGTCTTTTGGAGTGGAAAAGATGGTTTATAAAGACTGTTTTAATTTCAAGTTTCAAGCCTAGAGTTGCCCCTTTGGTTGCACGTTCCAGCAATTGCTCGCTGGCTCTGTGATCCCAGCAGCAGAGGCAGAGGATCTCTCACTTTTCTGCGTGCTGGTGCAGAAAGCCACGTGTGGGTAGTGGTGGTGGCGGGGCCCCTTTCATCTCGTCTTACCTTCATACCCTAATCATTTGCCGCATGGAACTATACCGCCTCTTGCTCGCTCAGATGAGCTGTGAAAGGTTAACGCTGGTGTCTGACTCAACTGCTGGTGCCAGCAGAAAGGCCTCCTCTGAGCCCACTGAATTGCTGTTGATTTGGCTGAGATTTGTTCCACGGGCATCGGTAGGCTTTGACTGTGTTGCAGATATTTGTCACTCCAGGTGCCCTGGCCATCAGCAGGGAATGGAACGAACTGCACAAACAGCAGCGAAGGAATGAGTCAGAGAGCGGTATTGAATCTGTTTCAGTAAAATGTGTTACCTATGCCCCTCAAAGTCCTTTTGCAATGAGATGAAGAAGAGGGGAAAAAAGCCATCCACATGCACAAATGTTTTACTCGGCAAAGCTTTTTTCAGTTATTAAGAAGCTATACGCTCTCTCTCTTTGTAGCCACTAAATACCTTTCACTATAACCACTCCAGATGTGGTCCAACTTCCTTCCTTAGCAGAGCAGATGCAAGTTTTCAGTGCTTAGCGGTGCAGATAAAAGATGGGGAGGAGAAAGTTCATAGAAAACAGGAAAGGGCGATCATGTTACATTTACTTAGAAACTCAGCTCCCTTTCCATTTATTCTAGTAGATAATAGGGGAATAATTCGGTTAAATTGTAAGATGCCATTAATCTTTAGAAATGCTCGTCGATGAGAGAGATTTTTACTTGAAATGTGTACTTGGACACTTAGCAATTTAATGTAATTGCTGCATAACTAAAGTGGTTCACTG